CAAACCCCAGACAGTTCAGGTCATTATCAGCACCATCATCTTTCACATCCCTACTGGTATGGTCCTTTGAGCAGTACTTAAAGCATCCCGCTGCTGCTTTCGTAACCCAAAGTACCAAAGTCCAAATTCCTCCAAACAAAACCATGATCAAGCCTATCACAGCAACATCCCAGTCCCTGGTACCAACTTCTGTCTTAGGGTCTCTATTGCCATGAAGAGACACCGTGACCACAGCAACTCTTACAAAGGAAAACTTTTCATTGGGTTGGCTTGCAGTTCAGAGGTTCAGTCCATTATCATCACGGCGGGGAGCAGGGCGGTGTGCAGGCAGACATGGTGCTGGCTACATCTTGGTTAGGAGGCAACAGGAAGTGGACTGAGCAGCGCTGAGGGAATCTTGAACACAAGAGACCTCAAATCCCACCCCACAATGCCTCGCTTCCTCCATCAAGGGCACAGCCCCTAAGAGTACCACTGCCTTTGGGGGCTGTTTTCTTTCAGACCACCACAGACAGGTATTGATGAAAATTTAGAAAACAAAAACAAGAGATATCCTCAGCCACAATCCTGCCGTTCCTATTCCACTTCAGGATATGTTTCTTTCTGACCTATGAGAAGGGTTTCTGGTTTTACCTCAAAAGCAGTCACTGTGAACATACTAGACAAGCTATTTCATGTTTTATACGCCTCATTCATGTAATGTTAGCAATGAGCATTTGCTGTAAAAACACTGCTCAGGTCATAACCCTCTGTGGAAAGCCCATGTCTCATGGGCCACAGCGTGACTCTGTTTACAGCGACCCTGGTGTGAGGTGATTCTAGGCAGCTGTTGACAGTACTTTGCTCTGTCATCTCCATCCATAAAGTGGGAAGAAATAATAGTGAAGACAATACCTACTGTATTTGTTCCTTCTTAATTGCTGTGATAAAAACACCAAGACCACGGCGACTTATAGAGGAAAAAGCTTATGCTCACAGTTCCAGAAAGTTAGATTCCTTGACAGTGTAGCAGACAAAGGAGGGAAAGCAGGAAAATGAGCACTTGTATCTAAGCAGAGAGAGCAAACTGGGAATCGCTTAAGACTCTGAAACCCGCAAAGCCTGCCTCCCGTGACACACTCCCTCTAGCAAGGTTTCATCATTTAACAGCACAGCCAGCTGGGACCAGGTGTTTAAAAGCCTGGCAATTAATATATGTTTTTATTTATACATATACTCTTAACCTTTTCTTTAAAATACATAAAGCTCCTTTCTACTGGTAGCCTAGTATCACTATACTGACTTGCATGATTGGCTAGCTATGGCTCTGAACCATACTTACACTTTTACACTTAGGACCAGAGCCTTAAAAACCTTTTGTATAAGAACACTCAAGCTTAGGGCATTTGATTTAAGCTTATTCATTGACTTCTATACCATTATCTGAACCACACTCAGTGAGGAAAAAAAAGAAACCTAATGTGTGCAAAAGTGACATAGAAGGGATCAAAAATCCCATTATTGTATTGTCCCTGACACTTGGCTTTCCAGGTTTTCCACATCTGAACCACATCCACCTCCTAGCTCACCACTCATAGCTACTAACACGTGAGCCAGCTAAAATTTATACACAAGGTTTCTAACCGTACTGGGCATCTTTCTCGTCCGCTCCTTCTCTTGGTTTATTTCCTCTTCTCTATCCCAACCCCACCAACATTTCAAAGCTGGATTCGGTCCTTCCGAAACAGCCCCTTCATGGTGCGGCCAAGTGACACAGTCCGTGTGAAAAAGAGCACAGTTCAAAAAAGGTTGTAAAGAACCTCACACTTTATCCCTGCAACCATCCTATGAAGCCTTATTTCTCCTTCCCTAGTCTTCCCAGGTCCTCCCACCTCCCTTCGCAAGGCAACTTCATGTTCTCTCTTTCTCTCTCAAGAAAAAAGAAGAAGAAAGAAAGGAAAAGAAAAGAAAAGAAAAGAAAAGAAAAGAAAAGAAAGGGGGGACCAGTAAAAAGATTTTTAAAAAATGGTCATATAAACAAAATGGAATCTATATTGTGTTGGCCAACTCCTGGGCATGGGGACTGCCCTGGAGTGTGGTCGATAGACAGTCCATTGGAGATACTGATTTTCTGCTTATTCGCAGGCATCTATTGCACATATTTTCTTGAACGTGGTGGGGCTTTGTGTCCACTTCCTCTTTGTGGAGAGTCTCTGCAAACACCATGATCCATAGAGTGTCAATCCACATGAAGCCGGAAGGAAGGCCAGTTCAATATGGCTTGGTAGTCAGTGTTGCTCAAACTTCAAGAGTTCAACACCAAGTAGTTTGATGTGGGAGTGTCATATATCAATCTGTTGATTTCATTGGTTAAGCAATAAAGAAACTGCTTGGCCCTGATAGGTTAAAACATAGGTGGGAGGAGTAAACAGAACAGAATGCTGGGAGGAAGAGGAAGTGAGCTCAGACTCGACAGCTCTGCTCTCTGGAGCAGAAGCCATGTTCCCCTCTCCAGGGCAGACACAATAGCTCTGCTCTCTGAAGCAGAAGCGATGGAGCAAGATGCCAGGTCAGACATGCTGAATCTTTCCTGGTAAGCGCACCTCGTGGTGCTACATAGATTATTAGAAATGGGTTAAGAGGCTGAAACTAATGGGCCAGGCAGTGTTTAAAAGAATACAGTTTGTGTGTTGTTATTTTGGGACATAAGCTAGCAGGCAGCCAGGCGGCCAGGGTGCTGGGGACGCAGCCCCGCCGCTCCTATTACAACAGTTTGTTTTAGGCTTTTCATAGCACAGCACAATTTGGAGAAAGGTTTCCTGGTGATAATTAACTCAGTTCCATGTGTACAACAAAAATGTTAAGACATGACTACATCAAAATTCTTGTAAGGTACAAGTAGCATCTTCCATAAAGACAGGTGCTCTTGGTTAACTGAGGAAGCAGGCTCAAGGTAAACAACGCTCCTGATAAGGATCTGGGGAGGGCAGAGCTCTAGATTGACTGAGATAAACATCTGGATCTAGGGAGGGCAGAGCTCTAGATTGACTGAGATAAACATCTGGATCTGGGGGAGGAGAGAGCTCTAGATTGACTGAGATAAACATCTGGGTCTGGGGGAGGAGAGAGCCCTAGACTGACTGAGATAAACATCTGGGCCTGGGGGAGAAGAGAGCCCTAGACTGACTAAGATAAACATCTGGATCTGGGGAGGAGAGAGTTCTAGACTGACAGAGATAAACATCTGGGTCTTTGGGAGGCAGTGTGGCCTGGCTGTACAGACAGTACAGGGGTCACCAGGCTATTAGCCACCACTTTCCCAGTCTTCTGGGAGGAAAATGGGTTGCATATCCTCTAATTTTGACCGCTGTGGGACCATGGTCTGTACCCCCTGTCAATTGTATTTTAATAAATGCTGATTGGCCAGTAGCCAGGGCAGGAAGTACAGGCAGGATGACCAAGCAAGATGTGACTGCCTCACCTAAAAAGGTACCGAGCCACGTGGCAAACACAGACACAAAGTATGGGCTACTATAAGTTATTATAGCTAGTTAATAAGAAGAGTCTGAGATACTGGGCCAATCAGTTTATAATTAATGTAGGCCTCTGTGTATTTCTCTGGGACTGAACAACTGCAGGACCGGGTGGGACAGAAACCTCAGTCAACTTTTGACAGACAGGCAACCCTACATGTTTAAACACTCCAGTGCTTCTCTGTAAGCACAGTGACATACATATTCCTACACTCTGTCTGAGATTTTGGAAGATGCTGTGGGTGGGGAAGGTGGTTACCCCCCCCCTCTGTCTCTCTCACACACACACACACAATCTCATCACATGGCTACTACATACTAAACCTGAGACTGGCCCTTGTTTTCCTCTGGCCTCACCCACCCTATTACTGGTACAACAAGACTTTTGCTACAATTCCAAACTTGTTTGATAGAGGAGGGTCATCTTTCTATCTGTTGTTTCATTGGTTAAGTAATAAAGAAACTGCTTGGCCTCTGATAGGACAGAAAATTAGGTAGGCGGAGTAGACAGAACAGAATGCTGGGAGAAAGAAGCTGAGTCAGGCAGTCGCCATGATTCTCCCACTCCAGAGAGATGCAGGTTAAGATCTTCCCTGGTAAGCCACATCCTGGGCTACACAGATTATTAGAAATGGGTTAGATCAATATGTAAGAGCTAGCCAATAAGAGGCTGGAACTAACGGGCCAGGCAGTGTTT